GGGGGGAGCAGCCATGCTTTAAAAAGGGTATTTAAAATATGAAAAAGGGCCAAGAAGAAGAGAGCCACACTGAAAACGAAGAATGCAAAGAGCTCTGGGCTGACACAATATAGCCACAGTTAAAATATTCTGATATCTTTATAAAAGTAACTCTGCAGAATCATCTCCAACGCCTCTTCGTAATTTCACCAAGCTTCCTGCTGCAGGGGGCGCGAAGGAAACACTATGAAACACTTTTATTCCTATACATAATTTATGTCTGCACTTTAGAGAGGGGGGAAACATCAACGCAGGGAAAACACAGCTCCTGTCGAAATGACAAAACGCATTTTGGGTGGAAAAAAATATGGGCAAAAGTTATTTTCTCCATGATTACATGTCATTTATCCCAGCAGCAATTGCATATTTGCACTGAAACCATTAAATCACAAATTATTAATCTAGGAGACGGAGAAGCGAGGGCTTGCAGTGTGCAATAAGTCACTGAAAGGTTAGAAAACTCATATGTCAGTTAACAGCAGGAAAACGAAAAAGATAAGCGAGTTTAAAAGAGCAAAATTAAATATTGAAACAGTCTGCGGGACTCGTTTGAGAGATTAATTGCTGGAAATCCCTACCTATGTGGGACCCCTCCATGTTGTAACGTGGTAAAAGGGCCACCAACCATTCTCCGTTAGAGCAAAAATAGAAAAAAAAATATTTTGCAGGTATTGCCACCTGCTGGTTAAATGTTAAGACGGTAAAATTCTTGGCCAATCGGCCCCTTGTGGGCTCAGATTGTTTTCTCAAGTGTCAATGAATCAGCCACATAGTGTCTAATGTTACAATCGGAAGAAAAGAGAAGTAAAGCTGTTACAAGTAGCAGATATGAGAAATATGATTGCCATCAAGCATATAGATAGATTGCATTTTGCAACAAGGTTCTTCAGATCACATCACCTCTATGATTAAAGGAGAGTTATGAGGCGAGTGAAAGTCACTCAGCCTCATAGTTCGAGCCGAACTGTGACAATGAAACTGTCACAGGTCGGATCAATAGATCGGGAAGTGAGCGAAAACATAAGGTCGCTCGCTCACCTCTCGATCTATCCCTGCAGAGAGCCGTGACTGTCACTCACGGCTCCCCGCAGGTATTCCCCCCCTCCCCTGTCCGATCCTCCAGCGCTGACTGGCGGAACGGACGGGGGAGGGGGCGGGCACAGCTGGCTCTGCCTCTAGATAGACAGAGCCAGCTGTCAATCACGCAGCTGGGTGGATCTCGACAGTAATGTCGGGATCCGTCCCGGCTGTAGCTCGTGGTATACTGAGCTTAGGGTGACGGGAGGAAGCTAGTTTGTGTCCTCCCGTTACCCTTAGGAGAACTATGGGGAAAAGCCCTGACCCCATAGTTCTCCTTTAAGCCCAGGTGGTGAAACGCTTGAGAGGCGTTAAAGTGGGAGAGACACTATGGTGGTGTATACCTTGTATTTTGAACTTTACAACAATAAAGTTGGATTTTTATGGACCTCGGTTGCGTGTGGATGATTGGAGAGATATTGTTTGACGAGTGGGAGTACATTGCAGCCTGCACCTGATGTCTGTATTGATCTGCAATCTGTTGGAATTGGAGCGGTGAGTCTTTTGCTTTTAAGGCTCTTCACATATTACGCGGAAGCCTCCATACTATGATTTAAACATGCTAAAAAAAAACCTTGTACCCCATCTTCTTGTGGCTGCTGGCAACACCACTGGAACTGACTGCTGGACCCTTGCAAAATTCACGAACCCTCATCTTCGGCACGCTTCTTGTTCGGAACAAATCTCAGGTGCCAGGAAGCCAAGGCACTCAAACCATTGCCTATTTTATTTGAGTTTCTACAGTTATCAAAGAACGTTCATAACTTGCCTTCTCATTGGCTCAAACTGGACTAACTCCCTGCTGAAGGCTTTATTTATTTGCCCATGCTTGGGTTAACTTGTGGCTGTGGCAGGGCAAGTATAGCAGAGGTTGCAATATGGAATTCAGGAGCTATTCTGTCCAATCGAGGAGTGAGCTCCACTGACTATAACTAAAAGTTAGGCGCCAGCTGCCATTTGTAAGGCACACTGGCAACCTGGGTTATGGGATTTGTCCAGCCCTATGCTAAGAGAAATATACAGTATATGGCAGCTATTGCTGACCTAACGAAAATGGATGTCCCTGGATGTCTCCTGTCTTTTGAGGCACTGACCTGGAACGAGTATGCAACCAACACAGTTACAATGCGTCATCAGCATATTCATTTAAAGTAGAAATGTGCTGTGAAAGCAGTGCCCAAAAAAAAGGGGAAAGCAGTGGAAGGGGGGGGCAAAGACTAGAGGACTAGTTGCCAGTATTGCCTATAGTCTCACTGATCTTTTCCCCATGACATGCTTTGTTCTGCACTTTGTGTGTAGAAGTGATCTTCCTAGAGAAGCAGGGCTTTGCTTCTTTACGTTGCAGCTGCCTCCTGATGACTGTACTGCTATTTTAGAGGGGGGCAAGACAAAAGGATTTTATTTTTTTAGTATGTATAATTTTTGATTGAAAATAAGCTGGAACATGCATAATCAAATGCTGACAGAGGTTAGGTATCAACATCTATCATATCAGAAAGAGGTACTGCTAGCAACATTCAGTTACTAGATAACCAGGTATGCTAGAGGAAATGCAAGCAGTATCACAAACCAGCAAGAAGACAAAAGGATCTGTTCAGTGTACTGCTCAGACACAATTACCATTTCTAAATGCCCCCTCCTTTAGCAAGGAGGAGATAGCAAATCTTCACAATTTTGTATTTCAAGTCCAATTTAAGGATCAGGACTGAAGTGACTGGCTCCCCATGACAGGCAGGCAACCAACATTTTTAGGAGTTCTATGCTGTGGATAGGACTGGTATAAAAGGTTTTATACACTGTAAAGCACTAAGGAATATGCCAGCACTTTACTAACACTTTTTTTTTTTAAACACACTACAAAAATCTGATGACTGAGAAACCGCAATCCAGAGAGGAACCTATCCAATACTTCATAAGCTAAACTAAGTAAATAAACTCATTTTTTAAAGAGTTGATTTTGGTTTTTGAAGGAAATTCCTGGCAAAAAAAAGTTCTCAAAATTAAAAGAAAATAAAAAAAAGTGACCAGGATCAACAAACACTCAGGCCCGGCTTTTGTGCTTCAGCATGGGCTCGGGGTAAGGGGCAGAGAATAGGAGATTTGATCCTTTGAAAACGTCTAGATTATTACTCTTCCCACTATCAAAACATTTTATCACTTTACCACCTCTCTGAATCCACAGCTGGTTTCTATTCCAAGTACTACCAGCTGCCCAATTTCAGCCCCCCATCTTGCCCCCTTGATCTTTAAAGCATTTTAATGCAATTTTATAGACACAAACACATTTTAGGAGCTCAGAAGAAGTCCTTAGGACCCTTCTCCTATTACTATTTTACAAAGTAGTAAAGTAGGTGGCAGACTTGGTGAGGGGTGGGGGAGACCACTCCAAAGTCCAAATGCCTCTGACTATTTAATTGATGTGACCTCCAAATGTCTCCTGGAATTTCAAATAAGATGTGATTAAGATCAGATGTATACGAAGGTGGCAGCGAAGGGGGAAGCCTAAAGCCTTTGTTTCAGCTTCTTTTAATTTGGACTACAGACAGAGACTCGCAGTGAGGTCGGGCTTACATCTCACCAGGTTTCCATGTGACTTGTGCTAGGGAAAGGCGTTCAGCTGGTGATGGGTTTGTGAGCATTCGCTGTGCGCATAACAAAGATTGGGTTGATTCTCCAGCTAACCCAGCTGGATTTGATAATTAATTGCACACTCTGCTAATTGCCATCTAATTATGTGATGATAATTAACTCCTCATGGCATCCTGGTGTCCGCACAGCGTTAAGGATTTGGAATGCCGTGAACAACTTACATTTACGTTTCAGCCCTTAACAGGTCAAATCACTTAGGAATTGAGAATTAGGAGGTAGGTGTGTATGTGCGTGTATATGTGCCAGGCATGGACAGAATAATATCTAGTCAATGCAGGAGCCAAGAGGAGCCAGCTCCATTGACATCGACTAAAGAAAAGCTCAAAATCCAGTAGCCGGCTGTCATTTTAAAGGAGCATTTGCTACCTGGCTACTGGAATTTGTACAGGCCTGGTGTAGGCCAATATATTTACACGTTGGGGTTGATGTACGGGAACCAAAAGCTGCCAAACTATTTTGAAGCAGAACTCCAAGCATATTCATAGTAAGGAAAAAAACAAAAAGCTTTCAGTGTACTTATGTATGCAACAAAATACATGTTTTAACATATAAAATATGCTTGTATATTTGTATATCATCTGCCTCTAAACCAAAGAAGAAGGTGGTTTGCAATCAGGCTCTATTGTATTGCTCAGTGATCTGAATCTAGCAAGCTTTCAGGCCCTGGGAGCTGGAGAGGAAGGCATTTAGGATGTTTAGGGGGACATAACGGAGAGCAACTCAACAGTTCAACAGAGATGATGTGCTTTCATTGTCCAATGAACAGGCTGGTGATACAAAAGCCTCAACGGGAAACTGGTGCATCACTTTGCTGGCTGTGTTATGTGAATAAAGACTGTCTGGACAAAATTCCAAATAGTTCCTAAAACACTTCATATATATGCTGTATGGATATGAAGAGTATCAGGTAAACTGATATCAGTTTTTCTGAGTGTAATGGAAATAAAAGCAATAAACACAAAGCTACACAAAAATCTGAAGGGTTGCAAAATTACCAGGTCACGATCTGCAAGGAGTTTGTATGTTCTCACTGTATTTCCTCCGGGTACTCTGGTTTCCTCCCACACTTCAAACACATGCTGCAAGGTTAATTGGCTCCTGTCTAAATTGGCCCTTGTATGTATGCATGCAATATAGGGACCTTAGATTGTAAGCTCCTTGTGGGCAGAGACTGATGTGAATGTACACTGTAAAAGCGCTGCGTAAAAATTGTTGGGGCTATTTAAATAGCAATAATAAATAAATAGTGCTAAAAAATTCTTCCATTTGTACTGTAAAATTCCTGAAACAGGTACCGTAAGAATCAAATCTCATCACCAATGTAGATGATCAAAATAATGAGGCAGCATGTAACACCAGATAAGAGCACCCAACTCCTACTCAAATATTATTGGCTGGCCAGAGCGCAGCATCAAAAAGTAGACCCCCCTTCTCCACCTATTATGCCCTCAGAGACGAATAGGAAAGACATACGCGGGGAATTTATCAAAATTGGAGCAGACAAAATCTGGAGCAGGTGTGCATGGCAACCAATCAGCTTCTCGCTTTCATTTTCAAATCTTAAGTGAACAAACTAAAGTTAGAACCTGATTGGTTGCCATGCACCGCTGCCCCAGATTTTGTCTGCTCCAGGTTTGATAAATCCACCTCACTGTTTTTAGTGTCACTCCTGGTCAAAACACATAGCTCCGATACCAACATCAGATTTGAGCAATCTGCCGAGAATGCTATTATTTAACAAAATAAATGAAGGGAACTTGCTTACCGGCCACTCTGATCGTAAAATTCCGCAGAATCTCTCCAGAAAGCAGCAACGTACAGCTATAAATCCCAGAGTCATCATAGGAAACATTGGTGATCCTCAGCAGGTTCTGTCTTGTGTGCGTCTGGTTGCTGGACTTCACTACAATCCCATCTTTCAGCCATGAAATAGACATAGGGGGGTTCTCCACACTACATAACAGTTCGATGGTTTCTCCGACTCCGTACATGAGCTCATCAAGAGGGATCTGCTCTCCTATGAGGTAATCTGCAACAATATTAAACATGTTTAAGAATATATACAGTGTTCACAAGCATGCACAAACATCTACATGACAAGGGCAGAGGGGTACGGACAGAAATATATCCCAACATATTTTGAGGAGCATCATACTGGTTGTATACATCATTTCAAAAATTTTACAAATTTCCTGCTGACTCCCCATAAATATGGACTAGCATAACATTTACACTTTAGAGGATGCCTTATTGGATAGGTTTCTGCATGCAGAAAGCTCAATGCCATAACATTTAAACCAGGAGGAACTTGAATACTCCAGCCCCGCTGCCAGTTCATGCTGAGCTAGTCTAGCAATCATTCATACCTCAAGTGATCCCACAAATGATTAGAATTTCTGCATGCTGAAAGCCCAGTATCACAAAATTTAAATTGGGAGGTACCCGAAAACTACAGCCCTCCTGCCAGTCCATTCCAAACTAGGCTACGAAACATTCATACCTCAAGTGATCCCATGAATGATTATAATTCCTGCATGCAGAAAGCCCAGTATCACAAAATTTGAACTGGGAGGAACTCTAGCCCTCCTACCAGTCAATGCCAAGCTAGACTAGGAAGCTTTCATACCTCAAGTGATCCTGCGGATTAACATAATCTCTGCATATAGAAAGCACAGTATCATAAAGAATTTAAACTAGGAGGAACTTGAATACTCCAGCCCTCCTGCCAATCTATGCCAAGCTAGCCAAGGGCCAATCCATGCCAAGCTAGCCTAGGGAGCATTCATACCTCAAGTGAACCCATGGATTAGAATTTCTGCATGCAGAAAGCCCAGTATCATAAAATTTGAAATGGATGGAACTTGAATACCAACAATCCATGCCAAGCTAGCCTAGGAAGCATTTATATCTCAAATGATCCCACAGAGACTTCATGTTTTTGTATGCAGAAAGCCCTGAAAAAGCTCCATTAGAAAATATGACTTATACTTTACTATTCCAGTACAGCTGTCAAATGACAGCAAGAGAAAGAAAAAAAAAGTAAGACAATACATTTGTAATTTTGCAGGGATGTAAAAAAGCCAAGGTGTTTATAGAAGAAAAAAAAAAAGACATGTTCTGTAGTACCCATTAGTGAATAATTCCTTTACATCCTGTCCCTGCCATATCTCCGCTATGAAAGAATTACCCTCAGAAAATTCCAGAGAGGTCTTATAGCATGATTCTCGGACTCAGAAAGGCCTACAGGCGCAGCACCACATGCCTGTCAGCTTAAAACTCAAATTTGGCAAGCAAGCTGCTTCAAAGCCTCAGTCAAAACACATGCTTCATTTTAATTAAGTTTCTTAGTTTGAAAAGAGGGGAGGCGGGGGGCACCCTTTCAAGTTATTGTTCATACAAACTACTAAACGCTTCAATTTACATGTTTTATTAAAAGTTTTTATACAGCATGCATAATAAGAAAAAACATTTACGTAACTACCCGACCATATTCGAGAAAGAATCCTGCAAAACCTGAGGAAATATTGAACCAATTTTTTTAGGTTATTTACACAAGGCCCCGGCTGGTTATTTTAGCCGAGTTTCTGACCTTGCCATTAAAATGAACGCTAGAGCAATTTCAAAACTCAAAATAAACAGCAAGCTGCAAAACACCAGCGAGATACTCCGGCTTCTGCTTCCTGTCAAAAGGCTTCTGTCAGGACATGATATTTAGACAATTCCAGCGCTGCAAACCTGCCCAGAAGACCTTATCAGCATAACACCCCCTTAGGATCAGCCTTGTCAGGATAATTATACGGGTGATAAACAGTTTTTCACTGCTAAATGCCCAATTTTCTTTTCATCCTGACAGGAACAAAAAATGAAGAGAAAGTGCCAAGACTGCTCCGAACATCTAGAAGGATTTCTACACCTAGTCTTAAGCCTACAGCACGCGTATACAGGTACAGGTATGAGTCATTTAATCACAAGCATTGTGTCATACTTTGCTACAATTACTCCAAGGAACTAGCATTACGCCATCAGCAGCAGTGCGCCCTTAGCAATGGAGAATAGGTATTAAAAGCAGAACTATGAGGTGAGTGATTTTCACTCACCTCATAGTTCTAGCCGACCTGTGACAATGAAACTGTCACAGGTCGGCTCAGTAGATCGGGAGGCGAGCGAACATATACCGGCGTTCGCTCACCTCTTGATCCTGTCACGGCTTTCTGCCGTGACAGGGGAGGGGCTGGACGGGGGAGGGGACGGGTACAGCTGGCTCTGCCTCTAGATAGGCAGAGCCAGCTGTCAGTCATGCAGCTGGGCGGATCTCGACACAATTGTCGGGATCCGCTTCAGCGTCTCAGTATACCGCGAGCAGCTGCTCGCGGTATACTGCGGCGTCTCAGTATACAGCAAGCTACAGCTCGCTGTATACTGAGCCTAGGGTGACGGGAGGACGCTCGTTTGTGTCCTCCCGTTACCTTAAGGAGAACTATGGGGAAAATACTTAACCCCATAGTTCTCCTTTAATGTATGTGAAATCACATTTAAAACTGAAGTCTACTGATATTTTTTTCCCGTGTTCTTGCTTTGCCCCCTCATCAACATGTTTGTCTTTGTATGTCATAAAGTTAAAAAATACAAAGTGTGGAGAGATAAATTATTGCTTATTCTGCAAAGATATTCTTAAATGGCCTGCACAGATTTTTGATACCCCTACAAAAGATTTTAACTGGATCATAATAATATTTCAAAGTAAAAGTTTTCTGTAATTAGCATCACATGTCTTCAATCTTGTAATCAGTCTGTGGAGAAAAGCAGTCATTATGCTGTTTGATATAATCGTGTGCACCACACTCGGCATGGACCACAGAGCAAGGCAAAGAATTGGCTGAGAGCAGAAAGAAAATTATAGACCGCTATGTCAAAAGGTAAAGGCTGTAAGACCCTCTCCAAGCAGCTTGATGTTCCTGTGGCTACAGTTGCAAATATTAATAGGGTTATTCACAAAAGGTGAAGAGTTTGGAGAAGGCAGGAGAAGTGAACAATCTAGGACAACATAGCTGAACTGGAAAGTGAGCTGAATTGGAGAATCTTTCCAAATCAGCTATTTTGCCTTAGATTGTTCACTTCTCCTGTCTTCTCCAAACTCTTCACCCTTTTGTGACTAACCCTGTAAGACACTGGAGTGTAGCTAACCTCCCTAGACGTGGCCACAAGAGGAAACTTGACTCCAAATTGAACAGAAGGATAGTACAGAAGGTAGATGAAGATCCAAGAAAAACTTCCATAGAGACCTGAGCTGAACTCCCAGGTCAAGGTACATCAATGTCTGAGCCCGCCTCCTTTCAAAAAGAGATGGATGGTGCAATCAAAAGAAGAGGCAGGAGGACTCCAATGTCGAAAGAAAAATGTAAAAGAGACCGACTGGAATTTGCTAAAAATGACAATACAAAACTGGAGCTATTTGGCAATTCACAGTAGCTCTGTGTTCACAGATGGAAAAAAAATAAAGCTTTCAAAGAAAAGAACACCGTACCTGTGAAACATAGGAGATGCTTGGTTTTGGGGCTACTTTGCTGCAAATGGAATGGGGGTGCCTTGAATCCATGCATGGCACAATGAAATCTCAAGACCATTCAAGGAATTCTGGAGCGAAACGTACTGGCCTCTGTCAGAAAGCTTTGCCTCACAGTCATGGGTCTTGCAACAGGATAATCTAGCTAAAAGCACCTGGGAACAAAGCATTGGACTATTCTGAAGTGGCCTTCTATGACCTCTGATCTGAATCCTATCAAACATCTATGGAAAGAGCTGAAATACGCAGTCTAGTGAAGGCACCCTTCAAACCTGAGACAGCTGGAGCCATTTGCTCAAGAAGAATATGCCAAACTACCTGTTGGCAGGTGCAGAGGTCTCGCTGACAGCTACAGAAATCGTGATTGCCACTAAGCCCTCATTCACACTAGAAAAGGCCGACAACGTACAGCTCCGTGCTGCATGGCCGCATCGCTCCGCTCCCGGGAAGGACAGGTGCTGCGTGTGATTAGTACGCAGCCCCCTGTTCTTCTCGTCGGTGTACCATGGGCCGCCCTTTGCTGGCTCAGACTCAGACAGTATCCATCCTGTCAGCGTACGAGTACGGACACCCGCACGGTTATGCAGGGCATGTGAGCGTTGGGCGGCGTACGGCCACGTACTCCCATAGAGAAGGACGGGGGCTGCGCACTAATAAAGATTGTGCAACAAAATATTAGGTTAAGGGTTCCATTACTTTTGTCCGTGCCATTTTCATTTGTTTTATTATCTAAAATATTATGCCAAATCAAAAGTCAAAAGCAAAGTCTGATTTTTATGAAATATGGAATAAACAATGATGGATGCCCCGGACTTTGGTCAGTCCCAGGCAATTGCATTTTGCATTGCATTTTCAGGGAAGGGTACCGACAAATCTGTCCACGTTTGTAATTACGTGTATTTAGTTAATGGCCCCTACTGCCTTTCTATCCCCTCGGGGTACTGCGAGGGTCAAATGCTGGCAGGTGGAAGAACAGCTGGGCTAAGCAGCAGGCCCTGGGCAGCAGATCAGTCATGTTGTGACAACTTTGTTCAAATCGAACTGGACCCCACCAGCTACAAGCTCAGACGAGGAGGGAGGGATAGCTGCCTCCAGCATCAAAGACTGCTTCATTTCCAAAAGATTTAACAGGGCCATGTGCAGGCATTGTGAGGAAAATATGGAGGACAGCACGCTTATTGCTACAAAACGAACCAGGGCTATATTGCATTAGAAGTAATCAGTTACTACGTATTAAGAGATCATATTCCATCGTACACCTTACATACATTTATATCGGTTAGGTAGCCAATACTTTGAGCTCTTTTCCATTCTGGTTGTCAATGGAAGCAAAACATTTACTAGCCTTCTAATAGTGTCCATATCCTAATTGGAACTGTCGAGGTTCGGAATTCTATATTAAAAATGGAACTCCAGCCAAGATTTACAGCAAGATCAACAGGTATTTTACTGAACTTAAACAGATA